TGCACCACACCTAGACTGATACCACCGGCAACTGCAACAGGCACAGGCTCAGAACTGCCGGGGGTACTGAAAATCGAAAGATCCCGGGGAAGCTGGAGGTCCTCAGCCGCAGAGCCCTCGCCATCACCAAGTCCTGAAATCAGAACCGCGGCCACCAGATCTCGAGATTCTAGCTCCACGAGGTTCTCCGGCTTTACCAAAATCGAAGGTTGCTGCTTTAGGAGCTTCCACACGATGGGTGTGTCCTGCGTCTGTCGGGGGTCCTTGAGGTCGATACCGGCCGCACGCAGCTGGCGCCACTCCTCGGCAACGAACTGATTCCATGCCGGATGTGAATCCACCTCTGGGGCGTCTACGAGCTCCATGGCTCTGAATTGTTGACGCTCAATTCCGTCACCCGTCTCCGTGAGGACTTCTCCGACAAGGCCGTTGAACGATTGCCGTTCAAGTCCACGAAGCTTGGCCCAGCGTGCAACGGTCAAGGACGGTAACTGAGCAATTTTCGATAAAGTTGCTGTGTCCCAGCGAATTGACCTCAGCCCACGGCACAAGATCTCATAGCCGTAGGATCCTTGTTGCGGCTGCATTGCAATGAGGCTCTGCTCGAAGAACGTCTGCACAGATCCACTGCAAAAGGCCTCTGTGAGCTTTTGCTCGAATCCGTCTGGATTCTGGAGTCTCAAGGATTTCCAGACAGCATACGGTAGTTTGCCAGTGTTTCTCTGCCTGATCTCCCTCGCGTGAATGCCATCTCCTGGGCACGTAGACTTGATTGGAGAATTAGATGAACTAGCGTGGTAAAGGTTAAGAAAGCGTATCTCTTCTATAAGTCCCTACCGAAGCAGCTGGCAGCTCAAAGTATTAATTTGCTGAACCACAAACCAGGCTCCCATGTCGATTCCAAACAAGCCTTCCGCACTTGCGTTCGGGTAGAGGTCGCTAACCAAAGCGTTCGTCATAATGTCAACGACTGCCCTTGCGAACTCAAGCCGGAACTGCTCCGTGGAAACGGACATTCCACCAAAGTTTCTGTTTTGCCAAGACCAGCGAAGC